TTGGGAGACCTATTAAATGGCGTCGGACACGAGATGCTAACCAACTGTCAACGGTTATTTATTACTTCATATTTACCCAAATACATGGTACATAGGAAAATATCGCGGTAGCAATTTTACTTTTTTTTAAAGAAAGTGAACAAGTAACATACTCACAGTAGTTGCTATTCATAAATTAAACTAGCAAAAATCTACGAGATATTTATTTCTCCAAGCGTTACAATTGCATTATATCAGCTGGATTATAATCATGGCATGAGTTGCTAGAACATCATATAAAGACAGTGCACTTGAAAAGTGGATTAGTGCGATATTTGTTCGGCTATTGCCTAACGTATTAACCTCAGGATTATTGGAGTGACCGCGGGATTTGCACTGGAAAATAGTTGTGAAACAGCTTTTCTGTAATCTGGCATTCTTAGACAATAAATCAAAAAATTGATAAACGAATTACTGAACTGAAGGAGTTTCAGTACAAAAACGACCACAGCGAGCATTTTTCTACTACACGGCACACACATATTTACTACAACTAATAGAACTTTGAATGGTAGCCAAGTCAACACAAATGTTCCTGTTATCAAAAACAATATCTTAGACATCCTCGCCTCTGTCCTCGCTCTTACTCCGTTTTGTATGCGGGAAGTCTGCTTACGCCAGATGACGCAGTAAGAAGTGCACGTTATTAGCAAAGAAGTAGACAAACTGATAGTAATAACTGTGAAAATCTGGTGATTTGCCACGATTGAATAGTGCTGTAACACTCGAACTGAAGTCACCGCGAGGGAGAGGATCCATGGCGTTGCTATGGCAATGGCGTAGCTATGAGAGGATAACTGCCGATGACGAAGTGGCCGACTGATGGCAAAGAGTCGTTCAAGAGAAATAACAGTCAATGTGAAAATGGAGGAGAGACCTGTAAACATATCGACACTATCAAGAACGACTCCTGGCATGAACTTGTCTTCAGAGATGACTGTGATCATATAAATCGGTACTGCAAATAATCCAACTAGGAGATCAGCTATTGCCAAATCGATTAACAGGTAAAGAGAACGTTTGCGAAACCTTCCCTTGACAAGAACTGCAATTGACAGGGAGTTACTAATAATGATTACAACTGCTGACACTCCAAAACACACACTCCAGAACCAGTTCCAGCTGTTGAAGTTCATGGTGAGTACACAACACAAGTAGAGAGAGCTGCAAAAAATAAATAAATAAATAAAAAGATAAATAAAAAAGGATACGATACAACGTAGGATTAATTAAGAAATAGAAAACGTGTACCGTGTTTCTATCGAGCTATAGAAACACGAGTGGAAGTTTGGAAGAACGAGAAATGCTGTGGGAATACTGTGGGCTGTTTCCACAGCTTTTTCGAGTTCTTCCAAACTTTCACGAGTGTTTCTGTAACTTAATAGAAACACGGAGAACATGTTTTCTATTTCTTTTAGAAAACACCGCGACGGTAAAAAACGAAAACAACTTGTTTACTTTGATTATCAAAATGTAAATTCTCTTTGCACGCGCCATCATTATGTCAACTGCTCGTGCTGGTTCTGTGTTTCCATCGAGTTACAGAAATAAGATTTGTAACCAATCAGCGCGCNAAAGACTTTATTTGTGTGTCAAAGAGGATCTACAATTGCAGCTTTAGAAAAACCAATTGGGGGCACTATTTAGACATTGAACAAATCATGTTTGAATCACTTTCGGAGATATTAACTTGAAACGCCAGGGCCACTGAGTTAATGAGAAACATCAGATATACTAGCTTTGGAACTTAAACTGCTTTTCAGCCAATCTCCTCTTTACTGTTATTCTATAAACAAACAAACCCATAAATGTTTAGCGTCCAGTCTGTGAAGTGTTTTTTAAACATTAATATATTTTTTTTTCAATAATTACTCAACCCCCTTCCACTTGAAACTGAATATAACACCCAATCTCTTACAAAAGATTCTTGAATGCAAAACCGTTTAAAGCACTTTCTTCCCAAAAGATAAAGTTGAACTCTTGTTTAACTGTATTTAAATTTTCATTTCAATGGGGAGATGTTTAAAAACTAATTTGAACAATAAAATGAAAATTAAGTAAGAAGGAAAATATCTCTTAGTGCCTGAGGACGTGGTGTGAGTTTGAATGTAATGCTAATAGCATCAAGCAAATCCACCTTTTCTACGTGTGAATTAGTTAGTATAGGTAATCATACGGTTTCGAGTTCAATTTGGAATTAATTTGCACGAGTACGTTTTTCAAGGTTTTTTTCGGCGAGTGCAATTTCAGCTTTTTTAAAAAATTCCCAAATGCTAATTAATAATATTAACATGAAAAACTTCGCGTGGAGGAAATGCCGGAAGATCTTTTTTAGAGCCATTTTTTCTCATTTTAGAAACTTTTTTCAAAGTTTCCGCACTAAATTTTCGCCATCATTTTGCGGGATATGATTGGCTTAGAAAATTGCCTTTTTTCTTTCAGCCAATCATAATCTAGGATTACGTTGTGCAATTTGCACTTGTGTTACACGTTTTGTACTGGTGTTACACTTTTTGCAGTGTGTTAAACTTGAACTCTATTGCTCTCAGCCAATCAGAATCGACTAATTTTTTTCATGTATATTATTAAAATAGTTATTTTATTCAAAAGACCAACGAAATGGATAAATACGAGTGTCTGTTAATTACTATCTTAATATATCGCCTTCTTTTCTTCCCTAAATGGCTAAACCTCACGACATATGTCATTTTTTTGACTGCCAAGCACCTTGCGTAGTAAAAAACATTATGTAGAAAAATGTCTGAGAAATTTTCGATGTACAATTTCATGTTGCTTTTACAACTTTTTTTTTTGTGCAAGGATGATGACGTTTCCAAAGTGATTCTGTTCGTAGAATAAAACTGTTTCAAAATTATATTAATATGCCTCAGAGTTTACAGACTAGGCTTTTGTCGATTGTGCTTGCAAAACTGGCAGATTATACTCCTAGCACTGCTCAAAATTTTTGGGAATCATCCCCGAATTATTCTCGTTTCTCTAAATTATGCTTCTCGCATCAAAATTATGCTACTTGGTTTTTAAACAAAATAAAGAAAGAACAGGGCGAATAAAGACAAACAAGGAATAACGCCGTTTGGAACCGTCGTTTTCTACAATTCTGAACATTCTGGCTTGATTTTGTATTATTTCCCTTTAATGATAGTGAAATCCAAGATGGCGGGTCAAATGGCGTCACATGACGTCATAATAAACAAACATGGTATCACCCTGTAGAGCAAGCTCAGGGCTAAATTATGCCAAGAATTATGCAAACACAGTCGACAAGTCACTTGTCAGAAGAAACATGGTACCCACATTCAGCTTTGTCCAAGTTATCCACATAGCACGTTCTTCCTTTAGAAACTTGAAAACATTAGTCGAAAACTTCATAAAGCCATTTTCATTCATCATAAACGGTGTCTTGCGTCCTATCCTTATTCTAACCTTTGGAAACCTCGATTTTCGTTCAGCTCAATATAACACATGCCCCACTAGGGTACTCTCATACACAGAAACTAGAGGCGACAGAACAAGATGGCATATCTTAGAGGCATGTAAAATTAGATCCCGACATTATTTGCGGGCATGTTTTAACCAGCCTTATGGGTTAGTTAAAAGCAAATCTACGAAAAAAGTGTATTTTGCTTTAGTGAAATTTCTTCCTACCTTTACCTTTGTAGTTTTTCCTTGGTGTTCTTGGACGTCCGTCTTGTCAAATTGCAGACACTTTTATTGTATCTGGCAGCAGCTTGTATTGTTTGGGAGAAAATATATGCTCGTAAATATATATGAATTATTGACCAAGTGTGAGGTCAAGATGGCTTTTTTTGCATGGACCGAGACGGAGTCGAGGTCCATAAACACGCAAAAAAAAGAAAAAAAGAACGAGGCTAATATCCAGCCATCTTGACCGAACAAGCTTGGTCAATAAAAGATTTATTATGTGGCTTTCAAGGAAATTTTTCTTGCGGGACACGGCGGGTAGTCCCGAGCGGGGAAGATAGCTTCATCTTGCCCGCTCGGGTAGCCAATCACAGCGCAAGATTTGATTCATCTTGCCCGCTCACGGAGTTAGCCATATCTCGTCTCAAAGTCGCATTCAGTTTTATATCGCGATTTAACCATTATTTGAGAAAACTAAACGAAAAAAACCGATTTATTAAAATATAAATTCCTTGTGCGCGCGAAGAATTGTTTTGGATGTTGGCACGTCATGTTGTTTCCTGTTTGTCGACGAATTGAGACAAATTTAACTTCATCAAAAGCTGACTTTTCAAAAAGCGGTTTCGCCATCTCGAGTGAGCTATATCTAGCTGCAAAAATGTGTGATATTGTCCTGTTTGCTTTCAGGCGATGGAAGAGTGCCCTTATTCCAATGCATGGAAGCCTCGATATTTATTTAATAAACTATATAACGCTTATATCCCACTAGGGCATTCTCATAAACAGGAAATAGCAGCGACAGAACACGACATAATATCCTAGGGGAATGTAAAATTAAATTCCCAGTACGCGAGAAGAATTGTTATTGATATTGGCACGCCATGTTGTTTTTAATGTCTCAACCAATGTACCTCCCTTCCATCGCCGACTTAAAGCTCGTTTTTACATTAAGAGTCATAGTCTATAAGATTTAAACTTTGGCCGGCCACCGTACCTCACCGATTTTGCTGAAATTTGGCATGGAATCTTGTTTTAGAGTCCTAACTACGAAATGGATTTTTAAAAATTCCAATTCTTTTTACTTTGGAAAATATCGAGAAAGCCGATTTCGAGTGACCTTGGCGGCCCGCCAATATGGCGAATCGAAGGAGTTCTTGTTACTTCAATCCTGATCCTGCCATCGTAAGTTCTCGACAATTCTTGTAACAGACATAAAGAACTATCCTTCTTTGGCTTATTTATTAAAATAAATCCGGTAAATGATAAGTTTTGAACGACCAACGGCCAAGAAGCACGAAGATATATTTTCTTAGCTTTGAAAAGTCGTAAATTTACTTCAAATTGGAAGGGCGATGTCTTCGGTGTTATCTCGATTGAAGTAGCCAGTTACCCAGAGTGTAGCTTAGTTATGGCTAATTTGATTCCATTAATAAAAATTCGGGGGAGTTGTAACAGCGTAGACTGAAAAATTATGTTATCAGTAGTAATTTGGCATTTTCTGCGGAACAGCTTGTTAAGCCAATGTTAGTCGAGGAAGATAGAAAACGATTCCTGTCGCTTAAATATTGCAATTTCCATGTTTTCTTACTAATGTGATTCAAAGAGCTGTGTTTGAAAATAGGATTCAAGATTGCGTGTGCGATTTTCAGGGAAAATTTTACACCGTTCACTTTGTTGTTGCACTGTAAGCAGTCTACACTGACATTCCAAATTACAGATTTGAAATCACCCAAATGCGTGAACATGAACCGTTCAAGTGCTTATTCAATTGATTATCATTTTTAAAATTTCTCTTACTCTATTGGGATATTGAAATCACCTATCTTCTGGCATGAAAAATATGTTTGTTTCTACGCACAACAATGAATGTCGATGAAATGTGAAATGAACATCGTGAGGCGCGCCATATCACTAATTAAATTTATTCATTTGGTCATCTGAAGTGTGCAAATGCTATATCTAAGTCAATGAAACCGATTTTTAGGTTTAACAGTTACAGTAGTATCGAGTAGCACGTTTTACAAGTATTTTTTGGCGGAACTGCAAGTTTATTTATAATATTAGTAACGATGATATGATACCGTAAAGTTGGTATGGAGATACGGTCAGTGTAAAATATGGGCTGCCGACTGTGGACTGCGGACTACGGACTGGGTGTAAAACACGCACTGTCAATTTCAAGGTATAANAGAGGCAAAGGACAGTACTTCATAGATTAATTACCACATACCATGAGGTAGCTCGAAGGAGCCTTTGATTAGGTTTAACAGTTACAGTAGTATCGAGTAGCACGTTTTACAAGTATTTGTTGGTGGAATTGCAAGTTTATTTATATTAGTAACGATAATATGATACCGTAAAGTTGGTATGGAGATACCGTCAGTGTAAAATATCGGCTGCCGACTGTGGACTGCGGACTACGGACTGGGTGTAAAACACGCACTGTCAATTTCAAGGTATAACTAACACGGCGCTATCGTTTAGAAGGATCTAAAAGTTGTTCAAACGTGATGGTTTATCAATGACCGAAGAAACGGTAAGATGATACTTTCCGTCCAGCTGTAAATCTACATTTTTTGATGGCTCGGAGTGGGGTGTAGGGGAGGGCCAAATGTTATTGCTGTTGTTGTTTTGTAGTGGTCAATGCGCTTAGCTACACCTAGCTAGTTCACAGCTAGGCCGCGGATGTCCGTCTGCTCTACAGCAAAATGTATCACATCAGTTTGTCAATCAGTCATCCTCGTTATGTCCACGACGTTCATCGTTCAGGCTTCAAATTCTACTGGGATACACAACTGTTTCACAATAGAAGCTAAGGTGGGTGATTTTTATATGCCATCTAGAGAAAGGGGAGTACAAAGAGGAGTTTAAGAGGACTTAATTTGAAACGTGACGCAATTTGCATTTTTGTACTCAACAGTGATTGAAATTATGTCGGTCGGTATTTCCGCGATAGTTTGTAGCCACGTAATCTGGATAAGATAAACAGTTTTTTTTTTTCGATATTGGAAATGAAAATTGAGTTCCTATGTTCTGGGTGATTTCTAAAATAGTTTGATTTGGAAATAGTAAATCGAGTGGGTGTTATGAAGAATGTTTACAAGTTAACAACAAAATGATTCATGTCAGTTCAAGATTTCTCCAGAAATCCCGTATCAACATTTTTTTTAACATGTCTTAAGACGTAGGGTATTTGTACCATATAAACAAGAAACATGAAAATAACTTCATTTAGACGACAGGAATAGCTTTTTTCATATCTCTCAATTAACATCTGCCGTATTCCCTAAACGGACTCGTCTTCAGCAAAGGCTGAACTGTTGAGACTGTCACTGGTGCTATAATTTTTTTATATCCACCGTTAAATTTCCCCTATTTTTTTTTATTAAGGGAATCAATTATTCAATAAACAAGCTGTGTTCAGGGTAAATGGCTAGTTCTTAATCGAGATAACAATGGAGATCAGCCTCCTAATTTACAGTAAATTTGCGGCTATTAAAAGCGACGTAAACATAACTTCGAGCTTCTTGGTTGTTCGTCGTTCAAACTTATCATTTTACGGATTTATTTTAATAAATAAGACAAAGAAGGATAGTTCTTCATGTCTGTTACAAGAATTGTCGAGAACTTACGATGGCAGGATCAAGATTGAAGTAACAAGAACTCCTTCGATCCGCGATATTGGCGGACCGCCAAGGTCACTCGAAATCGGCTTTCTCGATATTTTCCAAAGTAAAAAGAATTGGAACTTTTTAACATCCATTTCGCTGTTAGGACTCTTAAACAAGCCAGCAAGCCAAATCTCAGCAAAATCGGCGAGATACCGTGGCCGCGACCTTTTTATATAAATCGAAAATAACTGAGTATGACTCTTAAATAGCTCGTAAAGATGAACTAGTGTAGAGTTAAAGATGTCTGAACTGTGCAACTGTGCGAAAACATGGGGCGACGTTCACTGATCACTAACAGTGCAAGGAATATTTAATTTAAGTTTATTTTATTTTTTGTTTTTTGCCTCAGCAGCTGCAAAAATGTGTGATTTTGTCCTGTTTGCTTTCAGGCGATGGAAGAGTGCCCTTATTCCAATGCATGGAAGCCTCGATATTTATTTACCAATCTGTATGCTTGGTGAAATTATCGTGTGAAGAGACTTATGACAATTTGCGTCACCACGTTATTACAAATTGCGTAGACTGACGTTTATAACAAAATGCTGCAGCTCTTATTACAAAATGCGTCGTTTGCATTTAATACAAAATACTGCAGGTAATTACAAAATGCTGCAACTTTTATTACAAAATGCGTAAGGTATTACAAAATGCGTAAGGTATTACAAAATGCGTAGTTATTACAAAATGCCGCAGAACAAGCGGTTTCGCCATCTCGCGTGAGCTGTCTAGCGCGGTGCCTCCCTTCCATCGCCGACTTAAAGCTCATTTTTACATTAAATAGCTTGTAAAGATGAACTAGTGTAGAGTAACAGATGTCTGAACTGTGCAACTGTGCAAATGGGGGTCTCATATTTGAAGTGTACGTGGGAAACCCGTTTCAGTACCGCGATGTCAATTTGAAGTTTTGTACTAATCTGCGCGCGCGGCAAAAAGGAGACGGTGATACTGCGTTATAATGCAAGTCGTCTCTCTATCGTAACGGGAAAACTATGAGATGATCGCGACACTTACGAATTCATTTTGCAAATTATAAAGCGGGACAGAACACGATAAAATAACCTAGGGGAATGTAAAATTAAATCCAGGTTGTTGGCCGGTATGTTGTAACCAAACTTTGGGGATAGTTAAAGGTAGATCTATTTAACAACCAATGTCTTTTGTTTTAGTGAGATTTCGTCTTACCTTTGCCTTTCTACCTTCTCCTTGATGTTCTTAAACGTCCGTCTTGTCCAAAGACAGGCAATCCTCAGACACTCTCATTGCATCTGGAATCAATAAGCAGCTTGATTTTCATATATTTAAGAATTGGATATAAAAACAATATCTCTGAGATATTACCCAGTTTTAGCTAGGGCATATTCAGTCACGTGAGGAGATTACACCAATCGCGCGCGAGGGACGTGTTGGAATATAAGAAATTATAGATAGCCAAAAGAAACCAAGCAGAAGGTGATGTTCCTATGATTTCAGAGAAAATAATCCACTTTTTTCTTTTCTTTTCTTTCTTTC